GGGCGCCGGGGTGGCTTAGTCAGTTAAGCGTCCGACTTTCGCTTAGGTCATGATCTCGCGATTCGTGGGTTCGAGCCCTGCGTCAGGCTCTGTACTGACTGCCAGCTCAGAGCCTGGAGCCTATTTCAGAGTCTGTGTCTCCCTCTCTCTCTGACCCTCCCCTGCTCACACTGTCTCTCTCTCTCTCTCTCTCTCCTAGAAATAAAATATATATATTTTAAAATATTTTTAAAAATCTCTTATGGTTTGCCTCCATCATTTTTCCTTCCCTTCCTCTATGTTCACCTCTTGTGTTTCTTATATTCCATATATGAATGAAACCATGTATTTGTCTCTCTGACTGGTTTCACACATTGTTTCACACATTGTTGCAAATAGCAAGATTTCATTCCTTTTGATTGCCGAGTAGTATTCCATTGTGTATATATACCACATCCTTATCCATTTGTCAGTTGATGGACATTTATTTGGACTCTGTAAAATCTGGCTACTGTTGATAGTCCTGCTATAAACATATGGATGCATGTATCGCTTCAAATCAGCATTTTTGTATCCTTTGTATAAATACCCCGTAGTGCCATAGCTGTATCAGAGGGTAGTTCTATTTTTACTTCTTTGAGGAACCTCCATGCTGTTTTCCAGAGTGGCTGTACCCAGTTTGCTTTCCCACCAATGGTGGGAAACATCTTCGCCAACATCCAGTGTTGCCTGAGTTGTTCCATTTAGCCATTCTGACAGGTGTGAGGTGGTATCTCATTGTGGTTTGATTTGTATTTCTCTAATGATGTGTCTTTTCATGTGTCTGTTAGCCATCTGGATGTCTTTTTTGGAAAAGTGTCTATTCATGTCTTCTGCCCATTTCTCCGCTGGATTGTTTTTTGGGTGTTGAGTTTGAAAAGCTCTTTATAGATTTTGGACACTGACCCTTTATCCGGTAATGTCATTTGCAAATATCTTCTCCCATCCTGTAGGTTGCCTTTTAGTTTTGTTGATTGTTTCCTTTGCTGTGCAGAAGCTTTTTATCTTCATGAGGTCCCAATAGTTCATATTTGCTTTTATTTCCCTTGCCTCCAAGATAGGTCTAGTAAGAAGTTGCTGCAGCTGAGGTCAAAGAGGTTGCTGCCTGTGTTCTCTTAGGTTTTTGATGATTTCCTGTCTCACAGTTAGGTCTTTCATCCATTTTGAGTTTATTTTTGTGTATGGTGTAAGAAAGTAGTTTCATTCTTCTGCATGTTGCCGTCCAGTTTTCCCAGCACCATTTGCTGAAGAGACTGTCTTTTTTCCATTGGATACTTTCTTGCTTTGAAAATTGACTCATTTTAAATGTGTAACTCAATTTTTAGTGTATTTACAGAGTTGTGCTGCTAATTTTAGTACACTTTTATACTCCAATTTTTAGAAAGTATAACATTCTAATTTTAGAATAACCTGTCACTCCAAAAAGAAACCTGGTGACCACTAGTAGAAACTCCTATTCATCTCTTTTCTACCCCCTTTATGCACCCCTAATCCCATCCCAAAAGAACTACTAACCTATTTTCGGATTCTATGGATCTGCCTCTCCCAGATACAACATATAAATGAAGTCCTGCCACATGTAGTCTTTGTGCCTGGCTTCTTTTATTGAACATGTTTTTGAAGTTCATACTGTAGTGTGGATCAGTACATTATTCTTTTTTTATGGCTAAATAATATTCCATTGTAGGGATTTACAACATTTAATTTGTCCATTCATCACTTGTTGAACATTTGAAGGTGTTTTGGCTATTAAGAATAGTGCTATTGTGTACCTCTACATTCAAGTTTTGCATATACATAAATTCTCAGATTTCTAGTATAAGGTTTATTCCTAGGAGCAGAATTGCTGGGTCATACAATAATTCTAAGTTTAATTTTTGAGGAAGAGCTGAACTGTTGTCCAAAGGGGCTTCACCATTTTACATTTCTTTTTCTTAAGATTTTTAATATTTATGGGGCACCTGGGTGGCTCAGTCGGTTGGGCATCCGACTTCGGCTCAGGTCATGATCTCACAGTTCGTGGTTCAAGCCCCGCGTCAGGCTCTGTGCTGACAGCTAGCTCAGAGCCTGGAGCCTGTTTCAGATTCTGTACCTCCCTCTCTCTCTGACCCTCCCCTGCTCATGCTGTGTGTGTGTGTGTCAGAAATAAAACATTAAAATTTTTGAAAAAAGATTTTTAATATTTATAATTTTTTTTTTAATTTTGGGAGAGAACAAGAGAGTGCATGAGCACGCATGAGTCGGGGAGGGACAGAGAGAGAGGAAGAGAGAGAATCTAAGCAGGTCTCATGCCGTCAGTGCAGAGCCAACCTAGGGCTCCATTCCATGAACCGTGAAATCATGACCTGGGTTAAAATCAAGGGTCAGATACCCAACTGACTGAGCCGCGTAGGTGCCTCTAAGATTTTTTTGGTATTTATTTTTGAGAGAGAGAGAGAATGTGGGGTAGGGGCAGAGGGAGAGGGGGAGACAGGATCTGAAGTGGGCTCTGTGCTGACAGCAGAGAGCCTGATGCAGGGCTCAAACTTACAAACCGTGAGATCACAACCTGAGCCACCCAGGCACCCCCTAAGATTTTATTATTAAGCAATCTCTATACCCAACTGCAGACTAGAACCCACAACCCAAGACCAAGAGTCTCCTGCTCCACCAACTGAACCAGCAGTTTACATTTCTAACTAGCAATGTATGAGAGTTCATTTTCTCCACAGCCTTTTAAACTTGTATTTTAATTATTTTTATAGGTATGCACTTGCTTTCTCATGGTTTTGATTTACATTTCCCTAATGACTATTGATTTTGAGTATCTTCATATGTGCTTATTATCCATTTGTATATTTGGAGAAATATTCAAATCCTTTGTGCATTTTAAAACTGGATTAGTTTTCTTAGTGTTCCCAGTTGTAAGATTTCTTTATATATTCTAGATGAAAGACCTTATTAAGACGTGATATATAAATACTTTTTCACAGTCTATGGGTTATCTTCATTTCCTTACTGGTATGTTTTAAAGCATAAAAGTTTTAAATTTTGATGAAGTACAATTTATCAGTGTCTTGTTTTCTCGCTTATAGTTTTGTTGTAATATATAACCCAAGGTTATGGAGAGTACTATATTCTTGTAAGAATTTTGTAATGTTACTTTATTTTTTTAAGTTTATTTATTTGTTTTGGGAGAAATTGAGAAAATCCCAAGCAGGCTCTGTGCTGTCAGCAAAGAGCCCCATGCAGGGCTCAATCTCACTAACCGTGAGATCATGACCTGAGCCAGAATCAAGAGTCTGTCACTCAACTGACTGAGCTACCCAGGTGCCCCAGAGTTTTGTAATCTTAGCTCTCAATTTAGATATCTTATTCAACTTTTTTATATGGTATGAGGTAGAGGTCTAAATTCATTCTTTTGCATACGGATATTACATTATTTCAGCACCATTAATTGGAAAGACAACAGACATACTCTTTTATTGTGTTATGCTCTATTGCACAGTGTAGATAACTGTGTATTTCTTTTTTAATGTTTGTTTATTTTTTTTTAATATTTTTTATTTATTTCTAGGAGAGAGAGACAGCGTGAGCAGGGGAGGGTCAGAGAGAGAGGGAGACACAGACTCTGAAATAGGCTTCAGGCTCTGAGCTGGCAGTCAGCACAGAGCCTGACACAGGGCTCGAACCCACAAACCGCGGGATCATGACCTAAGCAAAAGTCGGATGCTTAACCGACTAAGCCACCCAGGTGCCTCAAAGTTTGTTTATTTTTGAGAGAGAGAAAGAACATGAGTCAGGAGAAGGGCAGAGACCAAGAATCCAAAGTAGGTTCCATGCTGTCGGCGTAGGGCCCAACATGGGGCTCAAACTGGGAGACCATGACCTGAGTCAAAATCAAGTCAAATGCCCAACTGAAAGAGTCACCCAGGTGGCCCTAGATACAGTGTTTTGCTTTGTTTGTTTCTGTTTTTAACGAAGGTTTATGGCATTCCTGCTTCAAGCAAGTCTGTCAGCACCATTTTCTCAACAGCATTTGCTCACTTTGTTTCTCTGTCACATTTTGGCAATTTTTGAAATATTTCATAGTTTTCTATAATTTAATTTTTATGATCTGTGATCAGTAATTACCACTAGCTGAAATTTCAGGTGATACTTCGCATTTTTTTTTTTTTTTTTTAGCAATAAAGTGTTTTTAGGGGTGTCTGAGTCGCTCAGTCAGTTGAGCATCCAATTCCTGATTTTGGTTTGGGTCATGATCCTAGGGTGGTAGGATCAATCCCTGAGGTGGGCTCCATGCTCAGTGTGGAGTCTGCTTAAGATTATTTTTCTCCCCCCACTCACTCCCCCATGCTCTCTCTCTAAGATGAAAATTAAGTAAATAAAAATTTAAAAAATTTTTAAATGTTATTAAAAAAACTTTTTAAATGTTTGTTTACTTACTTTTAAAAGGGGGAGGGGCAGAGAGAAGGAGACACAATCTTTTTTTTAATGTTTTCTTTATTTCTGAGAGAGAGAGCGCGAGCATGAGCAGCGGAGGGTCAGAGAGAGAGGGAGAAACAGAATCTGAAGCAGGCTCCAGGCTCTGAGCTAGCTGTCAGCACAGAGCCTTACGCGGGGCTCGAACCCATGAACCGTGAGATCATGACCTGAGCCAAAGTTGGACACTTAACCAACTGAGCCATCCAGGTGCCCCATGGAGGCACAGAAACTGAAGGGGGCTCCAGGCTCTGAGCTGTCAACACAGAGCCTGACATGGGGCTCGAACTCTTGAACGGAAAGATCATGATCTGATCCAAAGTCAGAGGCTTAACCAATTGAGCCACCTAGGTGCCCCCCAAAATAGTTATTTTTAAATTAAAGTATATACATTGTGTTTTTTACCTCATGCGATTGCACACTTAATAAACTACAGTATAGACTAGACAAAACTTGTATGTGCACTGGGGAACCAAAAAATTCATTTGACTTGATTTATTCTGATATTTACTTTATTGCAGTGGTCTGGAACCAAACCTACAACGTCTACAAGGTTTGTTTATATTCTTTCCTCATCAAATTGTCTTGGAACCCTTGTCAACATTCAAATGACCATAAATGTCAGGGTTTCTTTCTGGCCACCTAATTCTATTCCATTGATCATTGCCTACCCTTATGGGAGTGCCACACCATTTTGATAATCGTAATTTTATAGCAAGTTTTAAATTTAGCAAATGTAACTCCTGCTTTGTGCTTTTTGAAGAGAGTGTGGCTCTTCTGGGTCCTTTGCATTTCCATATACATTTAAGGGTCAGTTTTGTTGATTTCTGTAAAAAAAAAAAAAAGTTGAAATTTTGATAGCTTGTGAATTGAATCTATAGGTAAATTTAGACAAGGTTGCCATTTTAACAATATTAAGTCCTTTGTGTATGAACATGACTGTCTTTCCTTGTATTGAGATTATCTTTTATTTTTAAACAATGTCTTTTAGTTTTCAGTAAGTCTAGGTATTCCTTTTTAAATTTTTTCCTAAGTAAATGTTATTGTGAATAACATTTTTTTGAAGTTATTGTGAATAGAATTGCTTTCTTAATTCCATTTTTGTGTTTCCACTGTAGTGTAAAGAAATGCAATTGTTCTGTTTTCTCCGTTGATCATGGATTTTGTAACCTTGCTGGGCTGGTTTTTTTAGCTTGTTTTTAGTAAATTCTTTTTTATTTTCTACATAGAGGTTTATCTTGTTTATATCTTGTCATTTTTAAAAATATTTTGTTGATTCTTTTTTCAATAATCTGAAAGACCTTGGCATTTAGGTTGATAGAAAATTCTTATTCTCATGTTCTGTCAGGTGCATACACAATTATTTTAATTTTCCTTAAAATGCCTGTGTACAGCAAGAATCCTGGTGCAAAAATAAGGATGTGATTCCAATTTTAGGCTTCACGAAAATAGGTGTAACTTTATAGATGCTGAACATAATTGTCACTTATAACCTTACATTTCCAGTTGGATAACTTTTATCTTTCTATTTTGTCTTGTTCATATTTTGAAGGTACTAAACGCCTAGATTTAATTTGTAGGATATCTTTAGCCAAAGGTATAGAATGTGCCAGGACAGTCATAGAAGTAAATTGTATACTGTGGGAACAATCTGACTCTCCTAGTCAGTAGGGAAAACCTAGTTACTCAATTAAATACACAGAGAAGTCTTGGTGGTATTTCAGAATTAGTTATCTATCAGGCATTCGACATGAACAAATACGGTCTTTGAATGAATGAATGGTGGTTTAAAATTCTGGGTGGTTCTGGTTTGGTGAAGAGCTAAGTGGTTGTGTGACCTTTGGAAAATAATTTAACTCTTAGTTTTTGTTTCTACCTCTGTGAAAACGATGAGGTGTGTCTGAATGATTGATGAAGTTCTACTCAGGCATGAATTTCAGCATTCCCTCTGTCTCTGCTCTTATAGTTGCATATAGATTGACTGTTAGTATCCAAATAGGCTTTCCTGACACAGAATTGTAAACATCTCCCAACTTTCTCTAGGATGCGCCTAAGTTGAGGATCACTGCTTTATAGACTTTAAAGATTAAGGGCAGCTTGATGTTAAGTAATCTTTTCACGCTCTCATATTTTTAAAATGATGAAATGGATGATGGTAATGGAAATAATAAGAATGAAGTAACAAATTATTTTATGGTTTATGGAGTAACTTGGTATGTTACATCATTGAATCTGAAGAACAATTCTGTGAAACTAGGAAGGTGCTATTACCCCCATTTAGCAAATGATGAAATTAAAGGTCAGAGAAATAAAGTGACTTGCTCAAAGTTACTGTGCTGTTAAAAAAAAAAAAAAAAAGGAGTCTGTAACTATATGCACATCTGGCACCATTCCTATTAACCATCAGTTAGGATTATGTAGGATAAATAATCTCAAAGATTTTTAGTCCCTTCCATTATGTGTTTACTGTCTTTGAAACTGGATAATTACCTACTTAGATTTAGAAGACTGAATAATCTAAAGCTGTGGGTCTTTATTGCTCCTAAAGCTAATAATGTCTTTATAATTTTTCCCTATATATTTTCAATTATGGGTATCTGGCCAATGTGATGGAAAACAAATTGGGTGGGGGACACGGTGAAACTAATTTCATAATATGGTAATCACTTGAGTTGCCACATAAAGAATAATTATGTATTCACTTGGCTTGTTCTTCTTGGAGGTAATTGCTGCAGATAACACGGAGAGGACACAAGCATCAATTTTCCCTTTGTGTTAATGGTGATTGATTTAATTTGTTATGCATCCCTGCCAATTTACCCACTTCACTACCTTTTTTTCCAAAGTTGGAAGAACTAATTCATGAGTGCTATAGTACTTTGTGGTTTATGCTGTACAATTGCTTGTATATATGGGTAGAACAGTCTATTCTGTGGAGCAATAACTTTGGATATTTTTCTTTTTTTGGTCACTGTGGCTATGGTTCCTATTCTTTGAATACATGCTTTTTCATGCCTTACTATTCCTGGCAACTACCCAGTTAATCATCAATGAGCTGGGGTTTGGAAGTGGTGCTTTGTGGTTGAGTGACTGCTAAGTCTTAATTCTCTATTTCCTGTCCTTTAAGAATCTCAGAACTGGATCTTTGGTGAAGGCTTGCACTTAAGTCTATATTAACCCTTTTGCTTTTGAACTTTGGACTTTTGTGGAAATGTGGGACAGATCAGCTCTGGTGTTCTTACCTGTCTTGGGAGAGATAACTGAGAATTCTAAGAAAGATCACCTTGAGAAAGTCCGTTTCCTTAAGTAACTGATGCTTTTAGAATAAATATTGGACATTGTCTATTCCTATTGGTTCACTGTGCTTTCTCTCCCTTTAGCCCCCCAGGTTCGCCCAATAGTCTTGGCTACTTCCCTACAGCTGCTAATCTTAGCGGTGTCCCTCCACAGCCTGGCACGGTGGTCAGAATGCAGGGCCTGGCCTACAATACTGGAGTTAAGGAAATTCTTAACTTCTTCCAAGGTTACCAGGTCAGTAGCTTGAAGAAGAAAATACACAGTGCCCTTATTACTTAAGTTGATTTGCCTAAAGAATGCAGCCAAGAAAGAAGCAGATTTTCTGAACCTCATGTGTACATATGCTAATAGATTTGCTGATAGAGGCAAAAAGAACCAAAGTCAGGGGGACTAGTTGTTTGAGTGCTATTTTCAAACTCACCCCTTCGACAAGATTAGGGCTTTTCCATGCTAATTGTCTCAACATAATATGTTGGTGCTCTTTTTAAAACTTGGGCTACTTTGGTAACTTGGGAAAGCTCTTCAGGGCACACAGCAGTGTGGGTCTTTTAATCTAGAATCAGAGTGGCTAGAAAGAGTTTTTCTCAAATTCTTGACTACCAAAAAAAAAAAAGTACTTAGACATGCAGTTTGAGTATTTAAAAAGTAGTCAAGGCCTCTCTACTTATCCTGGAAAAAACCAAGGAGACTCAATGAATCTTTAGATGCTAACTCCTTAAAATGAGCTATAGAATATTTGGTGAGCCTTATATAAAATGATCTGCAATTATTCTTGTGAAACAGATGTTCACTCTTACCAACCTTCTCTTACCACTGCCTATGTCCATCAATTGTTTTCCAAGTCAGGTTACAAAATGGGGTGTTTCTTGGTAAGAGCTCTGTAACACGGAGCAAAATCTCCTCATTACCGCCTCCCCTGAGCAGAGACTTTTCCTTCCTCAAATCACATAATTACCTAGAATCCAAATTCCTTTCTCGTGATATCTTAAAAATCAGTATTTTGAAACTCTTTTATTGCGTTAATAGCAAAAATTATCTTTCTTCTTGAAGCAGAATTTCACTTGAGTTGAGAAGTATTTATAGACATAATTGTCAAATCCTAAAATAGGCCTTGAGTATTTACAGTACAGAGTTGTACGGGGTATACCTGCAGAGGCTGTTTCACCATTAGAATGGGTTTACAAGCTTGGCGACCATGAATCATGGAGGATTGTGGAGCTTGGCTAAAATTATCTCAGGGGAGATGCCCCTAACCTACCTAGTTATTGTAATGGGCTTATGGGCATTTAAAATTCAAAGAGTATTTTCTGGTAAATGAAGAATATCTAATGAAGGTTAGACAAAAGTTATCTTTTGTTACTGACTGGCTTAACACATTCAAACCAGAAGTAAGAGGTTTTTCAGAGAACAGCAGATCTTTTCTCGTTACCTACGGGAGAAAACATTCCAAGACCCCCAGTGGATGCCTGAAATTGCAGATAGTATCAAACCCTATATATGCTATTTTTTCCTTTCCCTACATACCTATGATAAATTATAATTTAAGGACTGAGAGATTAACAACAATAATAAAGTAGATCTGTAATAAAAGGGATGCAAATGTGGTCATTCTCTCTCAAAATATCTTACCATATTTACCCTTGCTGTGATAACATGAGAAGATTAAATGCCTGTGCGGTAAGATGAAGTGAGGTGAACAACGTACACATCATGATGTAGTGTTAGGATTCTGTTAGGATCATTTGCTTCTGGTCAGTCAAGAGTAACTGAAACTGCTGATAAGGTGGGCTATTGTACATACTTGGCTTCTTCCCTAAACCATTATGCTGCCTATGGGGAGCTCTTGCAGGGGGAAACAAAGTTACTCTCTAAACTTCACATGAGATTCATGAGATTCTGAAAAGAGAAGAGAATTTTGCTGAAGGTTATTGAGATTGCTTAATAAACATTTGAGTTTGTGTTACCTCCAAGTGTTTTCCAGTTCTGGAAAGTACAGGCAGTTTTAGGTTTTAAGAGTCAGCTGAGTTAAATTTTTTTTTTTAATGTTTGTTTATTTTTGAGAAAGACAGAGAGAGTGTGAGTGGGGAGTAGGGCAGAGAGAGAAGGAGACACAGAATTTGAAGCAGGCTCCAGGCTCTGAGCTGTCAGCACAGAACCTGATGCGGGGCTCGAACTCACAAACCATGAGACCATGACCTGAGCTTAAGTCAACACTTAAGCCACCCAGGCGCCAGCCAAGTTCATTTTCCATTTTGTTTTGACTAATCAACATTTAGCTTCACAGTGAATAGAATTAAGCGGTCATAGACATAAACTGGTTGTGAGATGAAGCAAAATTGCTCTTATAATGAAGTGTTCTATGGCTTGCTTTTGTGGGTATTTATTCTACCAGGCAAGTAAAAGCAGTTATTTCTAGATTTATAGCTACAAAACTGACATGCTTCAAAGTTGAGATAAAATAACTTCAGTTTGTAGCAGTTTATCTTCTAGTATTTTCAAGGAACCATTGAAGATTGGAGTAGAGTTATCTGGTGTAATGAGAAGGAAGAAGATTGTATGAAATTATTTGATCTCAAGGAATTTGACCTTCATTTCTGAAGTGCTTGGAGTTTATGAACTAGATCAACCAATTAGGATTACATAGGAACTCGGGACACCTGGCCGGCTCAGTCGGTAGACTAGGTGACTCTTGATCCCAGGGTTATGAGTTCAAGCCCCACATTAAGCATAAATCTTACTGTAAAAAAAAAAAAAAAAGATTACATACAAACCTCACTTACAAATTAAGTATATCAAATTATTCCCGTGTCTTTAGTAATTTGAGTTTTAAGGCAGTTACAAAATCCAAAATCTTTTGTATCCTAATTTTATATCACTCTTACATAAAGCTTCATACATTCTGTCTTTGAGAGTATATGCCTATTTTTTTTGTTTTCTTTTTTTTAATGGTTTTGTTTTCTTTAAGTTTTTATTTATTTATTTTTGAGAGGGAGAGAGAGAATCCTAAGCAGGCTCTGCGCTGTCCATGCACAGCCCTACATAAGACTTGAACTTGTGACCCTCATCTAATGACCTGAGCTGAGATGAAGAGTCAGAATGCTTAAGGGACTGAGTCACCTGGGTGCCCCAAGAGTCTGTGTCCTCTTATTTTTTTCTGCCCTCAATTATTTTGGTAATAGTCACTAGCTATAGTAATCCAGATTGTTTGGGTATAGATTTACCATAAGACAAAATCAGTGGAGTGTGACTTAAAACAAAACTGTGTTCTCTTAAGTATTTTTGTGTTTATCTTTATTTACAGTGTATTTATTGCTATTGTTGATGTATTGGGAGGTTTTCATTTGATTTCTGGTTATTTATGGTTACGTAATATATTCATACAATTAAGCAAATGCATACTAATAATTGGTTGATTGAGTGAAATCTCTTGATAGTTTGATTCTGCCTTCTAAAATCATATCTTGAGATAATATTGGCATATGTCATTTTCTATAAACATTATATTTAAATATAATTTTTGGATGTCTGTTTCTCCTACCCTTAGGAAAATTCCATCTAAGTCAACTTCATTTTTCTATACTTCACACTTGATGGGGGTAGGGGGGTAGGAAGCCAGAAAAGGCAAGGATTTACAAAAAGGAAAGATTCTGTTGTCCAAAACAAAATGCAAGACATCAGTTCTATCAAATTTGTAATTTTGTTATATATACTTTAAAAATTGTAATTTTATAGGGGTGCCTGTCTGGCTCAGTCAGAAGAGCATGCTACTCTTGATCTCAGGTTTCCAAGTTTGAGCCCCACATTGGGTGTAGGGTTTACTAAAATAAATAAAATAAACTTTATAAAAAATCTGTAATTTTGTAAAGTTAAAGTGCCTGGGTTGGGCCTATTTCGGTAAATGAGATTTACAGAATGAGGACTGAATATATGAAGACAAACTACCATGAAAATATTTCATCAGGAGAATGTCATTCTGGTCATGAAAATAGATCTGTATCTATATATTATTTGATGGGCCTCTTATTCTGCACTCTCTGGTCTCGTTACATAATTCCTTTAACTTGATTTGCCCTTTGCTTTACCCTTTACTGTTAATGGCTTTGCATTTTCAACAGCTTTCGTTTTTGTTTGTTTCAAAATGCTTTAATCAGGGGGTGCCTGGGTGGCCCAATTGGTTAAGTTTCTGACTTTGGCTCAGGTCATGATCTCACGGTTTCTGGGTTCAAGCCCTGCATCGGGCTCTGTGCTGACAGCTAGCTCAGAGCCTGGAGACTGTCTTTGGATTCTGTATCTCCCTCTCTCTCTGGCCTTCCCCTGCTCACACTGTCCCTGTCTCTCAAAAATAAATAAAACATTAAAAAAAATTTTTTAAATACTTTAATCAGTATATCTTTGAGTCTCCCACCACTATTATGTGCCTGGGAGAATTAGGTAGATACTACAAATACAATATTTAATATTCATAGAGTTGTTTCCAGATGCTGGGCTTATTGGACAATACTTGGCAAATAGTTGGTGCTCAAAATATTTTATACCTAGTCACACCTGTGGTATCATGAAACTGTACCATTAGCAAGGTCTGACGTGTTTGCTGTTTATTTTGTTGTGGTGTTCTTTATCCCTGTGTTCACTCTAACCCCCTTCCTAAAAGGTAGTTTTATGGTATGTAGACACATTAAGTAGGAAGTGGTGACTTGGAATTAGCGGTTACATATGTGGCTTTTAACAGCATTGGAGCTTGTTTCGCACATTCTAAATGTTGTACAATACTGTTGGTAGATCTATTCAGTTGAAATGCTAATCGTCCATAGTGGCACTTTGTCCATCTTATGATCCTGTTTGTTCTAACTTGCATTGTAGTACGCAGCCGATGATGGACTTGTACACACAAATGACCAGGCCAGGACTCTACCCAAAGAATGGGTTTGTATTTAAGGGCCCCAGCAGTTAGACCATCCTCATAAAAGAAGGTAAGGCATTATCATGTGAAAGCTAAATCATAAAGGGCAAAACAAATAGAGATCAAGAACCTGAACATGTTTTTTATGAGTCGGGTAAGAGGTTCCCCCTTTACTTTAGTATGATGGAGGAGTGACAGAAATCCTGGATGAAATGGGAGACAAGTTCAGTGTGTCATCCAAGGAGACAGTATCTTAGTAATGTTTATGGATAATAGTTGTATGTTATTTTGGGGTAAGGGAAAACTTGTCAATTTAGAAATTCATTTGCTGGATTTAATGTGGAATCCAGTTTGGGCATGCTTTTGTGTTGTTTTAATTGAGGTAGAAATCACATAACATAAAATCCTTCATTTAAAAAAATTTTTTTAACATTTATTTTTGAGAGAGAGAGACAGAGCATGAGTGGGGGAGAGACAGAGACAGAGGGAGACACAGAATCAGAAGCAGACTACAGCCTCTGAGCTGTCAGCACAGAGTCCAATGCAGGGCTTGAACTCACAAGCCACAAGATCATGACCTGAAATGAAGTTGGGTGCCTAACTGACTGAGCCACCCAGGCGCCCCTAAAATCTTTCATTTTTAAGTATACAATTCAGTGGCAGTTAGTGTATTCATGATGTGTGCAACCACCACCTCTATCTAGTTCCAAAACACTTTCTTCACTCCAAAAGAAAACGCCAAGCCCATTAAGCAGTATCTCCCTATTTTCCTTCCCCATAGACCCTGGAAAGACCATTCCTATGTGTGTGGATTTGCCTATACTGGATATTTTATATAAATGGAATCCTACAATATGTGACACTTTTGTGTCTGACTTCTTTCACTTCACAGATTTTGAGGTTCGTCCTTGTAGGAGCATGTATCAGTACTTCATTTCTTTTCATAGTTGAATAACATTCCATTGTATGGATAAACCACATTTTATTGATTCCTCTTCTGATAGACCTTTGGGTTGTTTCCACCTTGCTATTGTAAACAGTGCTGATACTAACATTTATGTATAAATATTTGAGTACCTGTTTTTTAATTCTCTTGGGTATGTATCTAGGAGTGGAATCACGGCATCCTACAGTAATTCCGTTGAGTTGAGTGTCCATTTTCCCCATTTTATTTTTTTATGGTGGTAGAGTATACATAACATAAAATTAACCATTTTTAAGTGTACAAAATCAGTGACATTAAATACATTCACATTATTATTTAACTTTCACCACCATCTAGCTTCATCATCTCCAACTGAAACTCCCATTTCCCTCTTCCCTCAGACCCTGGCAACTACCTCTTTACTCCCTGTTTCTATACATTTGACTATTCTAGGTAACTCATAAATGGAATAACCTAATACTTATCTTTTCATGGTTTGCTAATTTCCATTAACATAATGTTTTTAAGGTTCATCGTCTAAATCTAGTGGGAAGGAATCCTGATAGTTTTTTATTTTTTATTTATTTTTTAAATCTTTTTAAGTTTTTTAGTGTTTTTTAAATTTATTTTTGAGAGAGAGAGATAGAGACAGTGTGAGCAGTGGAGGGTCCGAGAGAGAAGGAGACACAGAATCCAAAGCAGGCTCCAGGCTCTGAGCTAGCTGTCAGCACAGAGCCCGACGCAGGGCTCAAACTCATGAACCATGAGATCATGACCTGAGTCGAAGTCGGATGCTTTGGGGCGCCTGGGTGGCTCAGTCAGTTAAGTGTCCAACTTCGACTCAGGTCATGATCTCACAGTTGGTGGGTTCGAGTCCTGCGTCAGGCTCTGTGTTGACAGCTCAGAGCCTGGAGCCTGTCTTCAGATTCTGTGTCCCTCTTTTTCTCTGACCCTCCCCTGCTCATGCTGTCTCTATCTCTCTCTCAAAAAAATAAAACATTAAAAACATTAAAAAAAGAAGTCAGACCCTTAACCGACTGAGCTACCCAGCACCCCTCCTGATAATTTTTTAATTGATAACCTTTTCTTAAAGGATATTGGCTTTCATTAACTAACTTGAATTTCAATAAAAACTTGGGGTGGGGGGGCACCTGGGTTAAGCATCTAACTTCAGCTCAGGTCAGATCTCACAGTTCATGAGTTCGAGTGCTATTCAAGCTCTCTGCTGTCAGCACAGAGCCCACTTCGGATCCTCTGTCCCTCTCTTGTTCTGCCCCACCCCCCTTGCTTGCTCACTCTCTCTCTCTGAAAAATAAATTAAAAAAAAATAAATATATACATATTTGGAAGGAAGAAAAAAGATACTGGCTTTCTGTGTGAGATTGCTCTAGAGATGGCATTGTGGGGACATGGTCAGGAATTGCTGTGACTTAATTCCTTCATTTTTTTATTGTTAGATTTGCTGAGATTGGTTTCCTGGCATGACACTTCAAAATTTTGTTTCCATTTTCGGGGTTGCTGGGTGGCTCAGTCGGTTAAGTGTCTGACTTTGGCTCAGGTCATGATCTCACAATTGGTGGGTTCAAGCCCCGCGACGGGCTTTGTGCTGACAGCTAGCTCAGAGCCTGGATCCTGCTTTGGATTCTGTGTCTCCCTCTCTCTCTGACCCTCCCCGGGTCACGCTGTCTCTCTCTCTCAGAAATAAATAAAACATTAGAGGAAAAATTTTTTTTTAATAAATAAAATTTTGTTGCCATTTGCATGGCTGAGGACCCTGTGGGCCTTAACCATATGGGTTCTAAATTGGAAAGTGTGGTTGCCAGTAGTACAATGTTGTCCTTGAGAAATGGCAATTGGGGTCTTAGGATCTCATTCTGAAGTTGTAGAAACCCTAGTTCTGGGATGGAAGTGATGATTCTCTGCTATTTTCCATGAGATTTCAAGATACCTTGGATATCAAAAAGCGTTGTGCCCCAATACTTTGCATAGGGTATGGGCTATTTTCTAGTTTAGTTCATAGTGATGAGGGCACATTATTCTAGCCTTTTGATACTCTTTTTGGTCTATATTTTGTCATTTGAAATGTTCTTTGTTCAGTCTCTTAATCCTGTTTATGAATTTGATAAGTATACTATCTATATCATAAAATGAATATAATGAGAAATGACTAGAGGGGTGGCTGGGTGATTCAGTCAGCTGAGCGTCTGACTTCAGCCCAGGTCATGATCTTGGGGCTCCTAGGCTCAAGCTCCATGTGGGGCTTTGCGCTGACAGTGGGGAGCTTGCTTCAGATAGTCTCTCTCCCTCTCACTCTCTGTCCCTCCCCTGCTTGCATGTGCTCTCTCAAAAATACACAAACATTAAAATCTTTAAAAAGAAAAAGAAGAAGGGGCACCTGGGTGGCTCAGTCGGTTGAGCATCCAACTTTGGCTCAGGTCATGATCTCATGGTTCATGGGCTCGAGTCCCGCGTCAGCCTCTGTACTGACAGCTAGCTCAGAGCCTGGAGCCTGCTTCAGATTCTGTGTCTCCCTCTCTCTCTGACCCTCCCCTGCTCACACTGTCTCTCTCTCTCAAAAATAAATAAAACATTAAAACATTTTAAAAAAAGAAGAAATTACTAGAAGTGGAACTTTGTTCTTTTTTAAAACTTTATTCATTTTGAGAGAGCATGTGGGCATGCACACACATACAACAGAGGGAGGGGAAAAGAGAGAGAATCCCAAATAGTGAGCTGTCAGTGCAGAACCTAACACGGGGCTCTATCTCACCAATGGCAAGATTATGACCTGATCTGAGATCAAGAGTCAGATACTTAACCGACTGACCCACCCAGGCACCTCACAGCTTTTTATTATTATATTAGAAATGTCCTCACTTGACTATAACCATTACTCAGCTCTGATTTTACCTTAGGTTTATATATTTGAAGTCATGATAGGAATATCAGGTGATTTGTAAAATCCAGCTGTTTGCATTTTTTATTATAAAATCGGATTAATCTACTTTTATATTGAATTTAAAAAAAATGTACATGGAATACTGGATGAAACACTTGGCATAAGTTTTAAGTTATTTAGTGATCTCAGCGATCCTGGGAGATAAGGATCATAAAAGTATTGTGGGCTTGTTGTAAAGCATTTGGAACATACAGACAGGTACAAAGAAGTCACTAACAATTTCACCCTCCAGAAATGACTATAATGAATATTTCCTTTCAGATTCTTTTTTGTATGCTCTTATGCAATTTGGAGCCTGTTTACCTTCCCTTTAACGTTCTTGGATAACTATATATTTTTTGTCTCATCATCTATAGTAATCAAATTTATCATCACTGGTCATCTCTTACACATCACAAGTGCCTTATGCTCTGTAAGCGATTTTATATCTCCAATGCCACTTACGTCCCATTCCAGCCCTGTGAGGCCTCGGGGTAGGTACCCATGGCTCCACCCGACAGATGAGGAAATGAAACTCAGTAAGGCTGGGTAACTTTCTGAGTCATATAGTTAATGACCATGCTGACTAAAGATACATCACTTTGAGTTTCAGTCTTGGTGCTCTTTTCTATTGAGCGAATAAAAAGCATGGCAGAGTAAGTACTTAAAGTGGGCTGGATGGTGGCCCCAAATACATGTCCACATCCTAATCCCCAGAACCTCTGACCTTATCTGGGAAAAAAAAAAAAAAAAAAGTAAGGATCTGGAGTGGAGTTTATCCTGGATTATCTGGGTGGGCCCTTAATGCAATTATAAAAGAGCAGAAATAGGGATACCTGGCTGGCATGGTCGGTGGAGCACGTGACTCTTGATCTCAGGGTCATGAGTTCAAGCTCCACACTGGGTGTGGAGCCTACTTAATAAAAGGGTGGGGAGTGGGGGAAGAAGCTCATACAGACACGGGAGAGGGGGAGACAGTATGACCATGGAGTCAGAGATTTCAATGAGGCAGACATGAGCCAAGGATCACTTGTAACCGTCGGAGGAAGCAAAGAATTGTTCCTTAGAGCCTCCGGAGGCTCTGCACCCTGGCTGATACCTTGATTTCTGGCTGCCAGATACAGGAGAGAAGTTTCTGTTGTTTAAGCCATCGAATTACAGTAATTTTTTACAGCAACTACAGGAAACTAGTAACAGTACTCGAAAA